AAAAATTATATAACATTTATACATTTCTGAGAGACAAGAGAGAGTGCAAGCAGGGGAGGGGCAGAGAGAGAGGGAGACACAGAATCCAAAGCAGGCTCCAGGCTCTGATTTGTCAGCACAGAGCCTGACGTGGGTTCAAACTCATGGACCACAAGATCATGATCTGAGCCGAAGTCAGACACTCAGCTGACTGAACCACCCAGGTGTCCCTAAATCTACTGATTTAAATGTGATATATCAAAAATATTAAAAGCATCATAGACAAAGGAAAGGAACTGGGTTGTTTAGGAAAGACTAAATTCCTTGAGAGGGGCCATGATTTTTCACATCTGTAACCCATCACCTAGAACAGTGCCTGGTGGAGAAGGTGCTTAGTACCTAGTGAAAGACAAAAAGCCAGAAGTGTCTGTTAAAAGAAAAGTCTAGTCTTTAAAAAAAAAAAAACACCCCACATTATTCAAAGAAAAAGAGGAGATATTTCAGGGTCTATGGTCAAAAACTTAGAACAGGTTCTAAGGTTCTTAGAACAAAGAATCTAATCCTTTTATGACCTTACAGCTCTGATGGAAAAGCAACAGGTCAATATTTTGCACCCACTCCCTGTTACCAACACTATAAACACAGTTTCTTAACCAATAAGACTGCACAGGAAAGCACTAATCACACACATTCCATGTTAAGACAGGTATGACTACACAATTTCTCTTTATCATATAATGGCAGCTTTAATCATTAGGTAGTAGGGCGTTGATTTCCTTGATCATCTTAAAGTATGTACAGTGATAGATGTGAGGCAACCGAGGAGAATTTAAGTCATTATTTGGGAACCATTAGGAAAATATCTCTGGATGACTGGAGTTTACAAAAGCAGGATCCAAGCTATTTGAGACTATGGGTCTAAGACACTTAACATTCACCTCAGGAAGAAGGCTGAACGTTATCCAGAGAGGCAGGCAGGACACGTCACCAGAACAAAGGAAAGCTTCCTTTACACCAGGGGTCGGGTTCAGCCTGACAAGTCAGTCAACTCCTATGCCAACAGTAGCTACCAACTACTAGCAGATGGAGTCCAGGGCTTGTAAAGAACGAGTCCAGAACCCTCCTGTGATGACACATCAGACCACTGGCAACCAGGAGATGTTGCTACTGGTCTTAGCACTCTCCTGACTTCGGTTGCTTCATTCGGGTGTGCTAGGGCATCTACTTGTCTTCTTGGTGTCAGCAAACACATGACAACCTCATAACACCTGAATATATTCAACAGCTCTTTCTTATCCTCCTAGCCAAAATTCAAGAGCTGTTAGCAGTCTTTAGATGCCTCAAGTCTGAGGAAGAAAATAAATAAATGGCTTTAAGAGACAAATTAAACAACCATAATACATGGACAGCCTAGAATAGTTCGTTCCAACATCACAGTGATCCGAGAGGATCATAGGGAATGAATTCCATATTTTTTTTTGTTCACACATATAGTAAAGCGGTATATTGCTGACCAAACACATAGTCACAGGCTCATCAGAAAGCTACAAGAATATAGCAAGAATCAAGTATTCCTGACCTACAGCTACAAATTCCGAAATTTACTTCTTGTATCACTAATTTCTCGTGGTAATTCTCTACCAACCACAACATTACACAGCCACTTAATGAGAGCAAGTTTTGTCCATCACATGCTATCATGGGAATAATTGGCTATTAATGAGAGCTGTTCTGTGTGCATTAAACACCTTGTCTCATTTAGAATTCACAACTCTATTAGGTGGGTACAGACTCTCAGACATCAAATAACCTGCCCAAGGTCACACAAGCAGTCTTCAGATCATTCTGTCTCTAAGTTCTTAATTATCCACTATGCACAATAACACTTCAAATACAAGTGTAAGAAGAGAATATAGCCCTAAACATTTAAATTAAAATGAAAACGTGTTCACTGCATTAATGTTTAAAAAAAAAAAAGAAAAGAAAAACCCTACACACTCCAACAAATTTTGGTACTCTTGCCAAAAATAAAAAAATAAAAAAAAGCAAATAGCTTCCAACCAGTCTATACTTCCATTTATATTTAGAACATGAGCTGGGCATGAGTATATAATGAATATATATGTGTGTCTCTCTGTGTGTATAACACCCACATTATTCAAAAGCTCCCAAAAATGTGAAAAGTTTGTTCCAATCCTTCTTTATTTTGTCTACTTTAAGAATCCTTTGCAATATGCTTATGTAAATACTGATTTTAGCTGCTGTTCTCATTTCTCAAATCTTCAGCTTATAAATGAATTGGAAAAGTAACAGACCTAAGCAGACATCTTTGGAACATAAAACCAAAGAGATATAAACAAATACGACTAAATAAGAAACAAAAGATTCTTCTTTAAATTTTTTAACTTCTCACTACTGAGAAATGAAAAGAACTGAAGGAATGCAGAGTGTACTGGCTATGGATACACAGTGTGTGCTGGCACATGTGTGTGCACTGAGTGTGCATGTGTGTACTCCAGTGGGGGTCTATTTTATTCACACACACAATGATCAGCATTTTCACTTATTTCACTAAAAATTCTGGAAAAGCATGAAATCTAAATGAAAGAAACTCCTGAAGTTAGAGTAATCCTAGGGCATGGGAGAATATTTAAGAAAAGAGTTCCAGGTTGTTAAGCCCAATAGGTGAGTGCCTATAGGTCAGTTTTCTTATACCAGAGTTCATATTATGGTTCAATGGCATTAATAGAATGGCTCAGAGACTCTGCAGGTGACTTGCCTCCGTCCACACTTCAAAGAGATGCTGAAAAGAAATCAGGATCGAGTCGACATATCACCATTCCACTTACCTGGTGGTGAGCCTTCATAACAGACATAAGTAAAGGCTAATATGACATCACAGATCATAAAGTACAGTGCAAGGAACATCTTAACACCAAACTATGACAAGTCGTGAATATATTATTTCCACCTAGAAGCATGAAACTTACCAATGCTGATGTTAGCACCTGAAATCAAGTACTATATTTGATATTGTTGGAATGAAAATTGAAACAGAAGACACTTTTTGATGAGAACTTGGCAGTATTATCAATGTAGTTTGCACTTTGATGACACAATAATCCCATTATTGGAAACACATTCTAATAGAGCATTTTTGTCATAGTTCAGAGCTGAACATGCATCTGGTACATATCTTTTCCGTATAAGGCAATCATACTACAGATTTTCTTATGTAAGCAAAGTAATACTAACAGCAATCTCACCAAAGGACAAACTTTTATACTCCTCCAACAGAGTGCAAATGTAAAAATCATTTTAGATTCATAACTGCAGACTCTCTCCTCATAAGTGTGTATTATTAAAGAATTAAAAAAACACTCCTGAAATTAGAAAAATAAGTGAAAAAAGTATAATAAATGTCTTAATGTTGTAGAGATGACTTTCTTCTTTCAGGGTGATCATACTGACAATAGAAAAAAATACTAGAACGTTTATTCTCAAAGTGATCAAGGGCTAAGTTAGTGGAGTTGGCCTTGCTCTACTGAAAAAAGCCAAGAGGGATACTTTAGCTTTTGGACAGAGAATAGATACTGGCAGCCTCCAGATTTTACTTCCAGCATCTCATCTCAACCCACATCCAGCCTGGTGTGAAGACATGGCAGATGGGCTACTTCTGTTATTTCAACTGCTTCAGCATCTTGCTTGTTTCTGGAAGCATGAATATTCAGCCACAATACGGAGCAAGCATAAGTGTGCTGACTATATTAAACAGGTACCAAAAAATCTTTATCCTTTTCCGTTTTCTCATTATCATAGATTAAGATTAAAAAAAAACATTTAGAAAATGCTACTTCTGCCAAGCTTGGAAAAGACTTATCATTCAACGAAATGATGCTAGTTTTCATATATTTAATGTTATGGAAAGAAATGTGTGGGCAGAAGAAAACCAGCGTAATTATCATTTTAGGGGAAAAGAATTTAAAGGCAACTAAACTGAATCAGTAATTATTTTTCACTTTGTTGTATTTTCATTATTTTATTATGTTCTTGGAAAATGCTGAGCAGGCATTAGAGTATCAATGTTGAGCATTCAGAAATGATTCCTTTAAATGCCACACAAAAAACCCTCCACATTGGCATGTTTTCCTGTTGTGTAAATAATGCCTATTTGTAACTCTTCTTTATTTATATCTTGAAAAAGATTATTGAATCCAAAAAGGGTAATTTTGCTATAAATAAAAGAAATGAAGTGACAATTTCTCTGTGAAAGAATTATCCATGAGATAATCCCTGAAGTAGGACACCATTCCCACCCCTCCCAAAGAACACAGAAATGTCTAGAAATAACATAATACACTTATATTTGCTAACGTGAGGAGTTTCATGATTGCTGAAAGGAAATCTCAAGGCCACAAACTCAGACCATAAGGGAAAACATTCATTAAACCACCACCTCTCATCAAAATAGTTGTTTAAAGAAGGCAATTCCCCATATATGTGGGAAAGTTCTTTAAGAGATCTTAAAAGTGGGGGCACCTGGCTGGCCCAGGTGGTGAAATGTGTAACTTCTTGATCTCGGGGTTGCAGACTGGAGCCCCATGTTGGGTGTAGACATTACTCAAAAATAAAAATCTTTTTTTAAAAAAGATCTTAAAACTGAGTAAAAACTTCAGTGCATAATCTGAATTCCATCCTCCACATGACACAGCACTTCTCACTCAAAAAACATTTATGCGGGAAAGGTGGCATGAACCAATTAGGTCTCCTTTACACTACCAGGTAAAAAGGAAATGCACTGGTTCCAAGACCCACATCTCAGACTGACTTATGATCCACAGGGCCCGACAGGTTATGTATTTTAAAAATAAAATAATCCTAATAAAAGGATGGATACCAGTCTGCTCTTTAGGACTGAGAGGGGATTTCTTAGAATTTTTTTCATATCCTAAAGAAAGAACATTACAGAAGTAAATCAATGCTAACGCAAGGCACACACGTGGAAGTTGAGATAAACTTACGAAGTAGCCTGTTCCCAAGCTGGAAGGAGCTGAACTCTGCAATAAAGCATAAAGACAAAGTGGAAAATCAGCAATGGTTCTTAACACGTTCCAATCCACACAGCTCATTACCAGCCCTTTGCGGGTTTTTCATCACTGCATCACATCACCAGTGTATGCTGCCCCTTGTCATCTGCTACTGATACAAACACCGTGTTGGCTTAATTTTCCCCTTTACATCTCTCAACAACTCAGAGATGCTAACGTGCTATTTACTGAATTCCAAGCTTCTGCGGTGGACGTAATTGCCAATTTATTTGACAGGCAGCTGGGTAATGAATTAATGATGGCATTTCGCCCTGCACTGAGACTAAACAGACACACATCAGCCTGCCTCCCTGACTTGCTGACATTCAATGCCCTGGTCTCAAGCTACTCAGTTTTGTGGCCGCGAAGGGGCAGGCTAGAGGAAAAAGCCCAGACTGACTTGAAAATAAAAGCCCAGTGGGTTTGGATGACTTTTCCAGTGTATGACCTACTTGCCAGTTTATTCCCTAAAGGCATCAGTTAGTACACACAGAGCGCTTTTCAAAAATGAGACATTTTGTAAACATAATTAGTAGAATAAAATGCAAAGAATGTGTGGGTAAAGGGAAGCCATGAAAAGCAACATTTTACTGAAGATTTTAGTAACAGGAATTATCAATTTAGGCTTCCATAGTTTTGACACACAGAAAACTAAAAAATAATAATTCTGAAAGGGTTGCAGGGCATCATTTCTATGGGCAAAAAGGCCAAGAAGAGAACTTGGGTTTTGTTTTAACCTTGACTGATTCATGCTTGTCTATACTTCTGTTTCTTTTTTGCTTAAAACCTCCCACTACAGATTCTTTAATTTTTAGTATCCATTTTGTGAAAAAGAAAGGCTCTAAATAAGCTAAAGACACAAGGAATGCTAATGCTGTGACAGTGTCCTGGTCTGGGCGAAGTGTCCTACCACTGGCAGGACCTTTTCCCTGACTAGCTTGGATCAGGGGTGACCCCCTCCCCAGGGCAGGCTCACTTTCACCTAAAAGCAGGACCCGCTCAGTTCATCTCTAGCTATTCCACCTACATGCCCTGTCCCTGCTCTGCAAACTGCAGGTAGCAGGGCCCATTTGGTGAACTTATCACTGCTGCCCCAGTGCGTAGCACACAGGATACATTTAATAAGTATTTGCTGAATTAATGTCTAAAGAAATAAGTGGATTGTATAGGAGGGAAAGAAGGCTTAGGTGAATTTCACATCTCCAAAACAGTAGATGCGAACCTTCCTGATTTTAAACTGTTCTGAGAAGGAAATGCAGTGCTGTTAAGTATCAACAGCACCCACAACAAAAAAGAATAGTGCATCCTAAATGCACTTCCTAAAGCAAAACTTTCTTCACCTCAATGTTTCAGACAGACTCAGGGGGAATAAAAGACAATAGATGTGTGATCCTGCACACTGGACTTGGTTTAAAAGAATCTTGCTGCATTCCTGATCCCATAAATGGTGTGTTGGGAGATCCACCGTAGCCATGGAGACAGCTTCTCATAGCAGTGATTAGCCATGTGACAGCATCACCTGTTTTCAGCACCCACAGCCCTCCATGGAGCGCAAGAAGGCCAAAGCCGGCTTAGGTCTCCATCACCCTGGAGTCATGCCCCTGGGAGATAAACTCATTTTAGGATGAATTACTCAGAAAGAACATGGGATTTGTTTATTTCAGGTTTTTCCCCCTTTCTGCAAATGCATTTTATCCCAGAACCAGAAGGACCCTTCCAAACCCACCTCCCACCCCCACATACATATCATCTTATTGTATACCAAAGAAAATTACATCCTTCAGGTCTCGGAAAGCTCTGTTATACTCATTTTGCATATATATTGTACATTACTCAGGGAGCGGGGTGGAGAAGAGGATTTTGTTGTGCATATTTGTTCTGGCTATTGTTTATGCAGGTCTGACTGAATGAGGGAACAGTGGGTATCATTTCAATTTCTGATGTCAACATCAAATTACTTATTTAATTTCATGCCTGGCGAAGCATTGTATAGCTACACGCAGAATCATTTCACTTCATTTGTTATGCTGTGTTTTCGTGGCGATTGGCTTGCCTTCCAACTGACAGCTTTAATTACGACATGAATTTGATTGCACTGCCGAGGAATTAACATAATGCAACAAAGCATTTAAGCACCCTGCCTTGTACCACTCCCCCCCCCCACACACACAAATACAGACAGACACATGAAAGAACACAGACACTAGACCCTCCCGTGCATTAAAAGCCCATTAGGGTTTCAGTATTTGCTAGAATGCATACAGAACCTTATGGTCAGAGGCTACTCACATTTGTCAACCCAATGTACTCACCTCTTTTTCTAAACAGAAAAAAGTTGGGGGCATTAGGCTGTGTTTTTTGGACCTGGCAAAAAACTTTGTAAGAAAATCCTTCTAATCTTTAACTTTGCCAAACACCCGTAGCATTGACATTTCTTCCCTGCCTACTCCCTTCTCCACCACATTTTTCTTGGCCAACTGCCAGCTCCCTTCAATCACTGGAAATTTTGAAAGAAAAAACATCCCTGAAAGAGGTATCTTCTTATTTCTACAACCTCAAGAATCTTGCTATGGCCTTGTATTCAGTGGGACTCTATCCTGGGTCAACCACAAGACCTCCAACATCAGGTAAAGATAATAGAAGTTCTGAGACCAGCCACAGGGCAGGAGTCAGGGTTTCACTGACAGTTCATGACACACGTCACATCCCTTAGGCCTTGCTATCCAGAAGGCCCACAAGAGCCTCGATCATGTATGCCTAATCCAAGTTTGTATCTAAATATAGATGCAAATATTTGATAGCATTAACCTTTTTCCCAAGTCAGAAATTCCATGAACACCTGGAACTGTGGGCAAAAACAGACTACACTATAAAAATGGAATAGATGTCTGGAAACAGCCTTCCTATTATTTGAAATGCATAATATTGGCTATTAATTTACAGATGTGCATTTAGGGACTGGCACCAAATTCTCATATAGGAAAGAGACAGACACCAAAAGGTGAAAGGCCTCGGAATGCAGAGAGGTTATGATAACCTGCCCACTGAACCATTTGACAGAATCAAGCTGATTTCAACTTTCTGTGTTGCCCCAATCCATATCTACTGAGGAGGGTCTTCCTTTCTTGTTTTGCTGGAGTGAGAAAGCAAACTCCAAACTATGAAGCAAAAATTGCCATAGAATCTAGAAAAGGCGAGGAGTTAAAATGAGGCTTGAAAAACTAAAGACAGGTTTTAAAAAAGAATGCAACAAACACAAGCATCCTTGGATTCAAAAGCATTTGAAATAATACCATACACCCATGTTTAGGCAAATACTTCTGTTGAATAATGAAAAAAGGTTTCATTCTTACTTTCTTCAAATGGCAGAGACGCCAATTCATTCATATTTTCAAGGCACAAGGCAGAAATGATAGGTGTAGAGAGGCTGAGAAAACAGAGTAAGAGAAAGTGTTTAGCAGCGAGAAGACAAGGACAGGAGGAAATGCCTGCCCCCTGGCTATCTGATATGCGATTTCCGGGCTCATTATAAGCCATCTCCTGTTTCACATGGTCTTTTCATTCTGCTGAATTTTTTTTTTTCCTTCAGGTTTGACCACTGCTCCAGCAATCTCTGCAAATTACCCACCTCGATCTCATTATGTTGCAAAGGAGAGCTTTCTTACAAACACACTCTGCCTCCATCTCCAAGCTACATGGGCTGCAAGAATAGTAACGGGATGCACAGTTGAAAGACACTTTCCAGGAGGTAGAACGGTGCTGCTGACATTCAAGTGTGCAAGTGGATATTCATTAAATGCTCATTCTCCTCTTCCTCACTGCTCCCCACCTGACTTTCTTTCCATCTCTGTCACTAAGATATCATGGAAGGTACTCATTAAACTCATGAAGTTAACATTTCTGTTTCAACGGCTTACCTACAACAAGGGATTTCAAAATTGATTATCCATCTTAAAAAGATGTGCTCCGTTTATTAGATATCTACACAGAGAGGCCATGGTTACTATTACAGCTCTCTGAGTATGGGATGGATGTGTACTCCACCCCTTGATGAGGATGTGTGCCCTGACCCTAGGGCTAATTTAAATAGAATATCTTAAAATTCTTCCACATCACCAATTGTGCCTGATATCCTTGCCTACCCACCTCCTTGTTATGCTCTTCTCTCTTGGGAGTAAAACACAGAGGATCATGGCTAAGTACATTTCTTGTAAAGGCCACAAAACAAGCTCATTCATGGATTTTCTGTAGCATTTTAAACAACAATGACAATTAAAAGAACTTCCTAATGCTAGGAAATGTGTCTCGGGGATAAGATTACTAATAGATGATGAAGACACAATATAAATTTGAATGGGAATTACTTCCTGGGGAATTCAAGGAAAAACAGGCCAAAAATTAAAATGAGAAATGTCATATGATCCACTAATTCCATTACCATATTTACACAAAGAAAATAAAACACTAATTTGAAAGGATATATATACCTCTGTGTTTATTGCAGCATTATTTATAATAGCCAAGATATAGAAGCTACCCCAAGTCCGTCCACAAGTGAATGGATAAAGAAGTGGTCGGTCTGTCTATCTGTCCGTCTATCTATCATCTATCTATCTATCTATCTATCTATCTATTGAAAGGAAGTATTATTCAGTCATAAAAAAAAAGAATGAGATCCTGCCATTAGTGTCAACATGAATATACCTCAAAGTATTATGCTAAGTGAAATAGGTCAGGCAGAGAAAGACAAATACTGTATTATTTCACTGACATGGAATCTAAAAAAACAAAACAAGTGAATAAACAAACAAGAAAGCAGACTCTTAAATACAGAGAACAAACTGGTGGTTCTCAGAGGAAGGATGGATGGGGGTAAAATAAATAAAGGGGATCAAGAGGTACAAACTTCCAGTTATAAAACAATTAAGTCATGGAGGTGAAAAGTACAGCACAGGGAATAGAGTCGAGAA